TATTATACTGAAAAAAATAGGTGTCAAAATGAGACTGATCACTCCTCAAGATAGATTTTGAAATCGTTCATACATAGGCAGTACTTTAATTGGAACCAGTATTCTTGTGGGAAGTCAAAGATTGACTCCTCTAAAGGCGAGGGTTAATTATAATTATTCGAAAGATGACCGGCAGAGAAGAGCCTCGAATGATGGTCGGTAGTGATTAGTGAAGAGCGTGTCAAAAGTGTTGGGACTTTTAGGGACGAGGGTATACGTACGATAGCCCGAGACCGGGTGACCAGGATTGTGATAGAGTCATGAACAAAGTTCACTTTCCGAAAAGAATATTTCCACCCTCAACAAGCCTAGGATTACAGGAAATTTCTCCCGAGGATAAAACTATCACCACTTTAGGTTCCAGGCTCAAGAACAATAAAGCACACTTAGAAATTTTTGGAAGAAAGAAGAAAAATCTGTTTGATGGTGTATGGCATCATCCACCCCACACATATTTATAGGAGCCGAATCCATGCATTGTTTCATGAAAGGTTGCCTTTATCCATAAGAAAGGTTGCCTTTATCCATATGAAAGGTTATCCTTATCCATATGAAGGGTTGCCTCTATCCATAAGGTTATCCTTATCCATAAAATAATGCAACCGCCACTAGGCCAAAGGGATGTGTCCCTTCACGGAATTAGAATATCGGTTCGGTCGGTCTAATCCCAAACCGGCTGGTCGGTCCAACCCAAAACCGGTTTGACTTGGTTAGTCCAGTTCAACCAAATTTCCAACAAAAAGCGTATTTTTACGTAAAAATGTTTGGTGATCTAAAAACGTAAAATTATAAGTTTTAAGCTTTAAAATGTATTTTTCAACTACATTAGTTATAAAAATTGAAATTATATATAGAAACATTTTGGTGACTTAAAAATGTAAAACGTAAATTTTTAAATTGTGATTTTAACTACTTTGGTGAAGAGTATCATATAATATAATATAATATATCGGACATGGAGCACGGGCTGGCTAGCCGGCCATTTTGTGCGTGAGAAACCTGTACAGGCTCAAATCCGATTATGTTATATTCGGGCTAAGATCAGGTGACTAAGGGGGGTCCCCTTAGTCACATGACTAAGTGAATCTCAGCCACTCAACCTCATTAAAATCCAAGGGCTCAGATTAATTCAATTTAATGAAGGGCATTGTAGTAATTGCATGATTTATTAATTAAAAAAACCTAAAATGCTCGCGTGTTTGTCCTGGCTGGGTTTCCGCCGTCGGGCATCATCGGCGGCCTGTGATTTTCGTTCCTCCTGGGTTCCCGGCGTCCCAGTCAGCACCGGCGGCCAGGGATTGGGATGCGCATGGGAGATCGACTGAGCTCCACCCTCCCGTCACGATCCTTTTTTGGAATTTCCGCCGACGGCAGCGCGAGTCCGACAGCGGCAACACGAGTCCGGTGGTGGCAGCACGAGTCCGGCGGCGCGCCAACGCGATCCGGCGGCGTGGTCCTCTCCCTGGGATTTTTATTTCCACCAGAGGGGGATTTATCTCCCAACAGAGAGCTTTCGTGGGGGGATTGCCATTTTCCTGGGGATTTTTCCCCAGCAGGAGAGAGAGAGAGCCATTTTCCTGGGGATTTTTCCCCAGCAGGAGAGAGAGATAGTACTTTTTATGTTTATGATTTGTATACTTTGTATTCATTTGTTTGTAATACAAGTTTGTAATGTTTGTAATGTTTGTTATTTTGTAATGTTTGTTGGTTTCTTTTGTATTGTTTGTAATCTTTGTATGACTATTTTGTATATATTGTAATTTGTAATTTTTGTTGATCTAGTTTGTATACTTTTATGTTATGATTTGTATACTTTGTATTCATTTGTTTGTAATAACAAGTTTGTAATGTTTGTAATGTTTGTTGGTTTCTTTTGTATTGTTTGTAATCTATGTATGACTATTTTGTATATATTGTAATTTGTAATTTTTGTTGCTCTAGTTTGTATACTTTTATGTTATGATTTGTATACTTTGTATTCATTTGTTTGTAATACAAGTTTACCAATTTGTAGTGTAAGTAGTGATATTTTGTACGTGTAGTATGCTTTGTACTGTTTGTAATGTTTGTAATGTTTGTTATTTTGTAATGTTTGTTGGTTTCTTTTGTATTGTTTGTAATGTTTGTATGACTATTTTGTATATATTGTAATTTGTAACTTTTGTTATTCAAGTTTGTATACTTTTATGTTATGATTTGTATACTTTGTATTCATTTGTTTGTAATACAAGTTTACCAATATGTATTGTAAGTAGTGATATTCTGTACATGTAGTATGCTTTGTACTGTTTGTCGGTTTCTTTTGTAATGTTTGTAATGTTTGTTGGTTTCTTTTGTATTGTTTGTAATGTTTGTTATTTTTGTCCACATGTTTGTCATTTTTGTCAACCATGTTTGTAATGTTTTTTGCATCACAAATCAATACATATAAAGTATACAAATTATTAGTACTTACAATACAAAGCGACGTGATTTGCAGCACAAATCAATACATATAAAGTATACAAATTAATATTACAAAACATACAAGCTATACAAACCATACTAAAATTTTGTACAAAAATACTAACAATACAAACTAATGTTACAAAACATACAAACTATACAAATCACTGTTCTTCCTTCAGACGATGTCTCTCCACCGCCGCCGCTGCCGCCGACTCTCTCTACAGCCGTCGTTACCTCTGTTTTCCCGGCAACAGATCTACTTTCTCTCTCTTCCACCGCCTCCGTCGCGATCGTCTTTCCCTCTCTCCATCGTCGCCGACGCGGTTGAGATCTCCTCGCCGTCGCCCCCCTCTCTTCCACCGTCGACGTCCTTCTCTCCCCGCTGCTGCTTTTCTCTCTCTCCTATGGCCTGCAATGGCGACGCAGAAGAGGATGACTGGAGGAAAAATCGCGATCTCCTTTCCCTCTCTCCACCGTCGTCGGCGCCGTCGACTTTCTCTTTCTCTCTCTCATCCGCCGGCGTTGCGATCTGTTTCCTCCGCCATGGCTCTCTCTCTCTCTACATCACAAAAAAGGGAAAGTAAGGAGACGTGTTGCAGAGGAAAAAAGAATTCAATAATAAATAAAACAAAACTAAAAAATAGGAGTTAATAAATTATTGATAATACCAAAACTACCCTTCTTATTTAATAATAATTAATTGAGTTATCTGGACCATCAGATCAATCCAATGGCTGAGGGGGGCTTAGTCAAGTGACTAAGGACCCCCCTTAGTCACCAGATCCGGACTCGTTATATTCTAAGAAGGGGTGCGTACAAAAGAATTAATTAGCATTATTGGAGTTCAATTCGAGGTTAAATGTGATGATATGATGTCATATCATCATGCTAATCTGATTATAACACATGCATGAAACTCATGGTCACTAATCAGCTTTTGGATGATACATATATCTAGCCCCGATAAAATTAATTAATTTTTTGTCAGCATTTTGGGTTCAGACAAGAATATATTACTTATATATACGTACAATTAGGAAATCAAGCAACATCGAAAAAGTCACAATACTTGCGGCGATGTTTCGTCGAAATTAATATTTGTGAAGATGTTAGTTGAGAAGTGAACAGGACCCGTGTTTTTTAGACTTTGTAATTTTGTGCTTTAACTTTCCAGTTGTTTAATTTGAGCTCTTTAAATGTGGTTTGTCTTGCCAATTCGGAGCAGCTCAATCCCAAACTAGTTTCTTAAGGACACAACAATCGATTCCAAATAGGGAGAGGAGAAATTAAAGATGCAGATATACGATGGACGTAGCTATCTTAGTTGTTTTCACAACTCAACCCTACTTGGTTACTGGAACTACAAGTAATCGGTCCAAAATTGCGACATACTACAGTCATCACTGTGTCGAGTGTAAGGTTGTTGAAGGAGATTTTGGTCAAGTAGCTTTTAGTTTAAGCTGAGGAGTTGGTGGGAAAACATATAATTTATGAAAAACATCTTTTGTCATGACAAAACATGTAAGATCAGTTCATTTACGTCTGTTCACATAATACTATGGTGATTTACGTAATAGTGTAAGTTTTTCACGTAAATGGAAATTCATACTTTCCCCCCTAATAATTTGTATTGACTATATTTATGGAATTAAATTTGAATTATCATTTAATCTGTAAAAATATGTTGCGTTGATCATAATCTACACAATGACATCCATTTTGATATATTTCAAAGCCTAAAATTTTATTTTTACAACGTCTTGAATAATTAACAATATGTGTGAATAAACATCAGGTGGTGTGACCTAACAGTATTGGTTACGTGAATAATCAACACTATTAGGTGAATAGCGCAAATATGACGTGAACAACACAAATATAATGTGAATAACCCAAATATAGGTGTTTTGTCACCTAACATGACAAGATAATTCACTCGTAATCTATTTTTTCAATGTGAGAAAGTCTATTGGGGACTCAATAGTGATTCAGTAACAAATCATAATAAAGGTTGTTTGAAACATCCTCTTATGGAATTGTGGAGTTTTTATGAGTTCCTACTTTCTATAAGTAATTTAGATTAATTTAAATAAGTTTCTATGAGTGGGAAATGGCAAAGGAAGAAGTGGAGAGAGAGGAGAGGAGAGGTGTGCTTCCGTGCGGGATAGAGAGACCATCAGTGACATTATCAGTACTTTGGCTCTCCAATCCCTTGCTTCAGCTCCGTACGCAACAAAACTCCAGCTAATTAATTAATTAATCCTGACCGACTCTGTAACATGTGGAGGAACAAAAAAAAAAAAAAAAGAAAGAAATCGCACATGTTTGTACTCTCTATTATATTCATTCTTTCCTAAATCGGTCTGATCGGCATTTTTTGACCGACCTACTACTAACGTTATATATATGAAGTTATAGTTAACAGCTATTGCCATCATTCATTCTCTAGCTACATCATCCCGTGACTTGTTCATAGTTTCGTTCGAGAAAGAGCCAGCCAGCCAGCCAATCCAATGACGCCATCTGCCTCTTCTTCTTCTTCTTTTCGGGCGAAACTGGAAGTCCGCATCACTTCCACAGAAACCATAAAGCCCTCCTCACCAACGACTCCCCGCCACGACGCCACGTTCAAGCTGTCGCTGATGGACAACTACGCTCCTCCACTGTACATGCCGTGCGTCTTCTACTATCCTCAGCGGTCCAGCGAGTCAGAAAGTTCCGGAGACAGAAGAATAGACATCCTCAAATCCTCACTCGCCGAGGCCCTCACGCGCTTCTACCCGCTGGCCGGGAGGCTGGGCGAAGCCGATTCGATCCCGGCCGTCCATTGCAACGACGCGGGCGTCCCGTTCTCGGTCGCGAAAGTCGTCCACGGTGGCACCCTGGCCGCGTTTCTCGGCACGGCTCCCGAGCCCGACTCGCTCGCCCAGTTCCTCCCTTTCCCGGCGGACCAGCTCAGCACCGCGGCAGCGATCCAATGCGCCCCGCAGACGGCGGTGAGGGCTACCGTGTTCCCCTGCGGCGGGGTTGTCGTCGGGACCTGCTCCTTCCACAAGATCATGGACGCCCGTACTTTCTTCGACTTCATGCTCCTCTGGTCCGCCGTCGCCAGAGCAGGTGGAGGAGGAGGCGGGTGGGGGTACGCGCACAATCGCGCCGCCACGGAACTGTTCCCGGCCCGTCCAGGCGACGCGAACCCCACCACCTTCGATTTTGGATCCGAACAAGGGGAAACCAGGGTGACGAGGAGGTTTGTGTTCGATGAGGAAGCCATTTCCTCTCTCAAAGCCATCAGTAGGAGTGAGCACGTGCCCAATCCAACCCGGTTCGAAGCCGTCGGAGGATTCACCTGGAAATGCGCCATGAATGCTGCCGCCACCGCCAGAGCATCAGCAGGGGGAGAGCCGGTAACGATTCATTCCGTTGCAGGTATATAATAAACAACTCAAATTATTCAATATATACAAACACGTATCATCTGAGGTTGTTACTTTTTTCTTTGTGTGGATGGGAGTACCTTTTCGGGGGGCAACTGTTGGTCAAAATTTTGTTGTAATAATTAGCTTATTAGTCTATCAAACATATTTCTTGAATATCAACGGATTTAACAAAGTCATTCTAAGAAATGTGATTTTGACTGCAGTGATGGCAACGGACCTTCGAGGTCGAATGAAGGAGCCATTGCCGGATTACTCCATTGGCAACGTAGTATGGCTTTCCCCCGTGTGGCACAACTATAGCCAAAACCTGAGCGAAGCACTGGTGTTGCAACAACTGGCGACCGAACTGAGGAGGTCGAAGGGAGCGACGGACGACGAGTTCATGGAGAAGATAGAAGGCGGGCATGGGAGGGAAGAGTTCATGAGAAACGGGGAGACGATGTGGAAGGCATTGATGGCGGGTTTTCACGCCGAAACAGAGAGTAGTAGTTGTAGTAAGACGATGGTGGTTGGGATATCGAGTATCGTCGGAATCAGACTTTACGACGTAGATTTTGGATGGGGAAAGCCTGGGTGGGTCAGCATGACTACATATGCAAATCAAGCACCCAATTCGGTCCTGCTGATGCCGTCGCCCAAAGGACATGGAATGGAGGCTTGGGTCACATTGGGCGAGCAAGAAATTGCCATGTTACAACGTGATGATTCTGATCTCCTTGCTTATGCCAAAAGGAATCCAGCTCTTTGATTTGCTTGGGCCACAAGAATTAATACTTCTCATCATCTGCAGACTTAGCTTGACGAAACCTTGGATGAGATCTGATGGATTTCGGGATGTGTTGTGTTCCATTTCATATATATTTCCCTATGTTATGTTATGTGAGTTTGTTGCATGCATTCGACTATTTGTGTGTTTCGCTCTACATAGTACTGTATTAGCAGTCCTATATGTTTTTTCCCCCTTTTCTTCCTCTTTATTGGGACAAGCTTGAAAACATGCCTTCAAAGTAAAATCCCTTTTTTATTTATTTTTATTTTCGTTTCTTTCGGTCAAGTGATTTCATTTCAGCTTCTGTGTGCTTCAAGGATGATGAGCTTGATTTTCAATGATAATTTAGATCTTATACTAGGTCGTGTATGCTGGGTGAGTTCTTTTTACATCCTTTGGCAATTTCAAGCTCAAAATAGGTGTAAAAGCACCCCAAAAAAAAAAAAGCAGCTAATATAAACTATTGAACCGATGTCATCAAGGTAATAGAAGGAATATGGTGAATTAATTTTATTGTTATTTTTGGATAAATTAAAATTATTAGACCGCAAGATTTTTTACTTTAGCATACGACAAAAACATAGTTTTAATTGAGAAGCTGACAAAGAGGATCACTGGGTGGAAGCCACATTTACTGAGCTACGCAGGGAAGCTACAACTCATTTAATTTGTACTAAGCAGTCTATCTCAATTCTGGAGGAATGTGTTCCATTTACCTTTGTCAGTTATAAGAGAGATTGGGTTAAAATGAAATCATTTCCTTTGGGGGGTGACTGAGAATTCAAGTAGGAAGGGAGCAGTGATTGTTTGGGACCAGCTGACTTTACCTAAACAGGAGGGTGGATTGGGCATCAAGTGTCTTAGGACATGGAACATAGCTTGTACAACTCGTCATATATGGAATCTGCTCACCCATAATGGTTCATGGTGGGTGGCATGGATCCACTTATATAGGATAAATGAAGCTTCTTTCTGGGAACTCACTGCTGGCTCTACTTGTTCATGGATATGGAAACGTCTACTGAAAGTTGTGGAGGGTTTCCTGAACTGCTGGGGTACACAAGTTTTCTGGAACAATAAAATAATGCTCAAGTACTCTGTGAAGACTATTTGAGAGGATTTACAACAATCGGCGGAAAAAGCTGCAAACGGTCCCTCACGAAAAAGGGGCAATATTGTTAGTCGATACAGTTCATAATAGGTTTTAATTCCCTACACCAAATTTTATCATAAGCTCTTTATTATTTGTATTATATAAATTTTTTGTAAGTTCAATTCTTTACCATCTCATCAATGTTTACGTAGATGTTTCGTAGGGTTAGTTAACTTTTACATTATAGTTTAATCAAATGTGGTAGATATTTAGTAAGGCTAATTAACTTTACATAACAGTTTAATCAAATATGTATTTTCTTTATATTATTGTATTATTAGACCACATAGTAAGAAATATTTGTGTAACACTATTCTATTACTGTTACATAAATAACAAATACATTATGTAAATGTTTGTGAGGGATATTCTATTTTTATAATATAATAATTTATTATTGGACTAATTCCACTAGGAAACACAAACTATTCAAAACGTGTCATTTGCGGCTTAAACTATTCAATATGACAAACCTGGCCCAAACTATATGCATTTTGTGACATTTGTGGCCAAAACTATTAAATATGACAAATCTGGCTCAAACTAGATAGAAGCTGACTACATTTTCTATGATCTACTAATGGTCAACGTCGGTCAACATTAACAAAAAAAATAGTTTGGGTCAGATTTGTCATATTTAATAGTTTAGGCCACAAATGACACTTTTTGAATAGTTTGGGCTTCCTAGTGGAATTAGCCCTTTATTATTAAATAAACCTTATTCATTATTAACTAAAGTATATTCACCATTTCATTATGCAAATATTCCATAAGACTAGTTAATTTTTACATAATAGTTTAATCAAATGTGATACTTTATATAACTAGATTTTATTATTAGACCACACGTTATGGACGATTTATGTAGCAATCTTCTATCACAACTACGTAAATTTCAATTTAAAAAAGATGGTTTACATGAGTCTTCCCTAATGATTAAGACACAACATAAAATTTATGGAAATATAATTAATACTAATGTATCAATTAAACAAACACATTATGTAAGTATTATGTATGATTAAAACATTATGGAAAATTTATGGAGGGATTGTTATTACTTATGTAACACTTACACAAATGCCTGACTTATGTTGATCGTAATAATGAAAGCACTATGTTCTACCACGATGAACTGCTTTATAGAGATATTTTACCCGAATAATTTTGTAAACTATTTAATTTCAATCAAGTCAATAAATAAGTGCATAGAATTTTAAATATGACTATCTTCTTACCACGATGAATTGCTTCCTCTTACCCCAGTTTTATATAAAAGTAAATCGTTTTTTCCAAACCCAAAATGCTGACCAGAAAATTCATTAATTATATTATGACGAGGCCATATCATATCACATATAACGTGGCCAGCCTTAATATGCTAATTAATGTTTTGGACGTACACCTTCTAAGAATAATCCTATCGAATTAGCCTATACAGGTTTCTCCAGGGAGATGCTTGGTCCAAACGTCCGCTATATTATTATATGCTAAGTACTCTTCACTGCGGACCATCTTTAGATTAATTATATTTAACACATGATACCCTCGCCTTCCCACGAGACCAATGAAATGAAGTGCTTTTTATTTTATGAACGATTTTGGAATCAATCTTCAGGTAATCATTATTTATTCCTTTTCGCTTTACTTTGTTCGGTGAAGTCAAATACCGTCAGCTCAATCTTCCGCTATAAATAACCTGATCCTACCGAACACCACAAACCCCGCTTTAGAGGGGATAAGAAAAAAAATTCCATCTACACAAATTAAACACCATGCCCGCCGGCGACGACATATCTCCGACACCGATGATCACCGACGGAAGCTTCAAGACGTGTCTGTTACAGCACTGCTTCGATCTAGACGAAACCCTGTCCCTCCCCACCGACATCCCCCGTCAGGTTGCGGATTCCATCTCCTTGATCGACAGATTGCCTACGGCTGCCGCTCCTCCGTCCGATGGCGATCCGTGTCCTATTTGCCGGGAAGGATTCCCGCCGGAAGAGAGCACCGGAGGCGGCAAAAGAGTGCCGTGTGGACACGTGTTTCATGCGGCTTGCATCTCCTCCTGGCTCTCTAACTCCAGTGGTTCATGTCCTCTATGCCGCCGCGGCATCTCCGCCTGACATGACCGGCGCCCGACCGGCTTGCTCGCTCTAGAGGATGTATAGCGCTCTAGTTGAAATGGGCCCCACCTGGAAGTTGATTTTAAGTTCCCTTCTTTAAAATAATACATGTTATGAAGTCCCAAAGGGATAAATTAGTAAGAAAATATATTGATTTTGTTTCATAGACCTAGCTAATTAAATATGCATATTATATGTTTTGGCGAATAAATTTTTATTAACTAGTTTGGGTATTATGAAAAACTACGAAGTATACAAACCGGATTTACAAACTGTACAAACCATACAAATATACAAACAGTACAAACTATAACGACAAAACATATAAATAATACAAAACATACAAACAATACAAAATAGACCGACAAACAATACAAACCATAAAAAAGGAAAAAACAACTAGGTTCAGTTTCACTTTGGAGACTCCATATCCCTATATAGAGGGGCACCGTACCAAAGTCAACCCGGTTGTTTTTTAGACGTACAAACATGGTGGAAAAATTTTACAAAGTAGACCGACAAACCATACAAAATGGAAAAACACCCGGATTGACTTTGGAGGCTCCATCTCGATATAGAGAAATTCCATCCAAAAGTCAACCAGGTTATTTTTCAGTCATAAAAAACATTACAAACATGGTTGACAAAAATGACAAACATGATTCACAAAAATAACAAAGCGTACAAACATTACAAAAGTAAATGAAAAACATTACAAAATAACAAAGCTTACAAACATTACAAAAGTAAATGAAAAACATTACAAAAAAAAAAAACAAAGCTTACAAACATTACAAAATAAACCGACAAACATTACAAAACATACTAACAGTACAAAATAACACTACTTACAATACAAATCGATAAAATTATTTTAAAATTTAATGAATACAAGGTATACAAACTGAAGTAACAAATATTATAAATCAAAATATATACAAATTAGTCATATAAACATTACAAATACAATAGACAAAAACAACTAACTAGAATGATAAAGTGTACAAACCAAATTGATTAAACATTACAAACTGAACTTATAAACATTATAAAATAGGTCGACAAACATCACGAATGCGGCCAGGAAATCCTTTGCCGGTCAGCAAAAAATCTGCCCATCACCGGAAAATCCGCCGGAAATCCACCATCGTTGTTATCTCTCTCACTAAGCTATTAGAGACGGGGCACAAAAATCAATTGGGACACAAAAATCCCCCCTCCACCGACAAGAGAATTCCCCAAAAAAATAAGGACCGACGGCAGAAGGCGGAGGTAGGGTGGACAACGGGAAACGGGTATTTGGATATACTCATACCTGTCCCGTTTTTTGAGGGTTACGGATACCCAAATACCATTAATTTATTTTTCGGGATGGGATTTGAGATCAAGAAACTCTACAACGGGTACCCGCGGGTTACCCGTTAATACCCGTTTGGGTATTACGTGTACCCGCGGGTTACCCGTTAATACCCGTTTGGGTATTACGGGTACCCGTACTACCCATCAAGACGAAGGATCCATGGCCTCTCTGCTTTGAACTTGATTGCAACTAAACATTGGTATCTTCTGCAGTTCTTGTTCCCTGTTCTTCCTCTGTTTCTCGGTCTCTGAATCCCAACGAAACTTAAATAAGCCTATTAGTTAATTTATGAAACAACCTAGACAAGCCTGAAAGCCCACTCGGTCTGGAATATCAGAAGGGAATATGTGGGATTTATTTTAAGTTTATCTCTTTTGGGATTTATGTGCTTTAAGCCCATTAGTTAATTAGAAGAAAGACGATTAGAATAAAAACATCTCTATTAGTCTTCTTCCTCGCATGCTCTCCTTTCCCCTGCTCTGTATCTTTTCTTCCAACGTCAAAATCCCTACAAGAAATTAAATCAGCTCACAATTGTATTTCAGTTAAGACCAGTCATTGTGCGGGACTGTAGGGAGATTGGTTTGAGAGGAATTATAAGGAAGTATGGGTACCCGCGGGTACCCGTTATCCGTCCCGTACGGGTAATGGGTACCTGTTAACTCGTAAGGGTTTGGGATATGGGATGGAGCCAAATGGGACTGGGTACCCGTTTCAAACAGGACGGGTACCCAATCCCGTCCTGTTTTCCACCCCTAGGCGGAGGAACAGGGCTGTGATTTTTTTATTTTACTTTAATTATTAAATAAATAAATAATGTAATTACCAACTTACCCTTAATTAAACTAGATAAATCTGAACCATTAGATTTTAATGAGGTTTAATGGCTGGGGTTGGCTTAGCCATGTGACCAAGGAACCCCTAAGTTACCTGATCTTAGCCCATCACATATCTTTATGGAAGGAAATTTAGTTTAGCAGTACCCTCGCTTTTTAATTGAAAATCTAAGTCTTAAATCTCGAGAATTTAGGATGGCAATAACCCATGAAGAAATTTTTTTATTGATATTCATGAGTAATTTTACTCAAATACAAGTAGACTTATTGATTATAGGTAGGATAACGGTGAATTATATATGAGTTTGGGAGGGGGGTTGTAGATTGATTTGTGTAGGATATATATATATTGCTTTCATAATCTAAATGAGTATGTAGTTAAGACACCCGTTTACCTGAGAGTGTTTTAACTACACATACACAAATTTGACCTATATTGTAAAAATTTAAAATTATAAAAACTTACGTATCAAAATGAAAGAAATAAAAATTTTAGGTACTAAAATATAGTTTTCTGTAAGTACTTTCAATACGTACATGCAAAACAATTTAATATAGGTACTAAATCTAAAGATATATTAAGTTTAGGTACCAAACTGTAATTTACATATGTGTATGAGTACAAATTCCAATCCATGGATTAAAATTCCAACCCATACATATGGGTATCCAACATAATTTAACTTGACAAAAATCACTTGAACCCGATATTAACAAGCTTTCAGGAAGGAGTGATTTTTATTCGCTTTTGTAAACGGCGGGTCGAGTCGGTTGTGAATTGGTTACAAACTCGGTTCAATCCGATCAAAGAGAGTTGAACATGATGTTGCCAAGTTTTGGGTAGTGAGCGAGTTTTATCCACTCTAGTGTTTGTTAATTTCTCAGGCGGTTGTGAGTTTTATCGCTTTTTTAATAGTTTGGTCAGATCGGTTGCGATTTTTTTACAAACTTGGTTCAACCCGATCAATGAGAGTTGAACATGATGTTGCCGAGTTTTTGGTCATGAGCGAGTTTTAATTTAGTGTTCGTTAATTTCTCTTTTTCATTTTGGTTGAGAATGAAATTGAGAAAAGAAACAAAGCAAAAAAAAAAAAAAAATACAAACTAATCAATTGTGTTACGGGAGAAGACTTAACATAGAAATCATTTCCTTGACGACACTTCTCGCTTATTAAAGTTTATCGCTGCGTCGACTACTTGGAGTTGTAAATGACAAACCCTTTAGTTTTGGATCAAACTTCAAACTATTAATCTTTAAAATATCATGTTCTTACTCACACGCGAAGTGATAGCGAGCGGGTTTACGCCAGTATATATTAGAATAACGCATGCAAATCTTTGGTAGCGAAAAAGCTTCTTATCCGTCCACCGTATTATCCTCTGTGTAGATGTGGGGGACGTGAGTGGTAGGGGTGTTCAAACGGTGTGGTTACCATGGTAACCGTTTTAACCAGTATTATTTGGATAATTTGGTTTGGTTAATTTGGATAATTGGTTAGGCTTGGTTAAAGTTTTTAGCTTGTTTGGTTTAGGTGGTTTGGTTTGGTTTTTGATACTCCTAACCAGCCAAACCAAATTAACCAGATAAATAATTCGCCATATATCTAATATATACACATACTTAATACTTTGAATAACCACTCAAGAGTTGAACGTTCATCCCTTTTAGACTCATAAAATATAAAGCTTGATATTGTTCCTATAATGTATATTTGTATATGTAGAGTGTAAACCACAACATATGAACGCCTAATTTAGATAAATCTCATACATTATGTTGGATGAAAACTTGAAAGCAAAATCCTTTTTCAGCCTATGAAAATTGCTAAAAGACTAAGTCAATTCAAACAAACACAAAAATTTGTTAACCCATACCATTGTGATAAATTTTTGTTAGGTGAATACTTCTATACTAACCATAAGATAACTGTCTTAGTTGCATGTATTTATGTTTAGGGTCAACTGTAACTATGTGTTGATTGTTATGTTTTCATTATATAAATTGTGAATTGATAAATTAACCTAATTTTTCTCACTTAAAGATAATGTGATTTTATGTTGGTTAATCTGGTTAATCAATTAACCAAACTGATTAAACTTTAATTTGGTTGTTTTATTAGTTTGGACGGTTTGGTTATGATATTGTATTCCATGGTTAATAAAATTTAGCCTTATTTGGTTTGGTAATAACCATGGTAACCATTTGAACACCCCCTACCTATCCTATCTATCAATCTCTCTGCATCCATTCCACTTGTATATTCATTGCCGCCGCTGTGCGAATAATCTGCCATTTAGTATATAAGGATTGAAAAAACCATATACTATACTGGTGGTTCGATTGAAAAAACTTCCTATTAAAAGCTAGCTAAACTGATAGGTTGTATTTAATAGTATAAAACGAATGAACTACTCCCAATTTTAGCATAAACATTAACGTTAGTAATTATCATCTCAACATTAACGTTGAGCTGTGCCCTTCATGGTCTGGTGGATACAAGTGAAGTGAGTGGGCCAGTGCCTCATGTTCCGCAATGGTTGGCGTTCTACTAAGAGCATCTCCAATGGTGCCATCTACATGCAATTTCAAGTGTGGTCCCTACTACCACATCATCAACTTTAACAATTATCTCACTCTTCATTTTCATACAACCTAGGGCTGTCAGTTCGGTTGCCGGTTACCGGCTAACCGGTAACTGCCGGTTAGCGGCTAACCGGAAACCGAAAAAAATGGGTGGCGGTCGGTTGTCGGATGAGTTCAGTGGTTAGGCGGTTAGCCGAAAAATCGAGGCTGGTTAACCGGC